CAGGACAAGAGAGGCATCCCATATATCGCTATCTTCTTTTTACTGATAGTAATGAAGAATGTAAATCATCCGAAGGTTTTTGATAATTAGCTTGTGAAGTTAAGGGGAAACAGATAAAGACCAATCCATCTCAGGTAGGCAGAAGGTGGTGATCACAGATGTCTGCACTAGTTGAGAGAAAGGTCTGACTGGCCACACCCCAACAGGTTATGTTCATAGCATTAGAAAAAAAGAAAAAAATGTTTTAGAAATGGGAGCCACTCTAGCCTACAACTTCAACAGGAACTGATGTGAGCCCCAGTAGGCAAGATCCAAAGCAAATGCTTATAAGCATGTCTAATTGCTAGAGAATTGTAATTATACAAACAGTGTTCTTAAAAGTACAAGTTGTTAGTGATTTTATTTGAAGAAATGGTACTTAAAACTTGGAGTACTTGAACTTACATAGAAAACGTTGAACTTTCAAATTATAAAAACAAAGCTGTGTAACAACCTCTCACGGAGAAAATTTCAGCGTTATCACAATAATACTGTTTTCTCTAGCACTGTATGGTTTCCCACTCCTCTAGGAATTCTGAATGGAACTAAAACTCAGCACAGAAAAGATACAGCTGCCTTAAAAGCATGGTACAACTCAGATGTCACCTTTTTTCCTGTGTACTTCTGAAAAGATCTATTGAATTAAGTAACGATGTCCTAGTAAATGCCCAATTCCTTTTAAAACATCAACAGTTGTAAGAAACTGAATTCAGCTAAATTCTCCGTGTAATTTAGAAAAAGCTTTTTATAGATGACATTCATTAAAACCACACTTTTCTGCAATTTATGTATGTCTAAACATTACAGACAAGACCAACATAAACAAAAAATTCTGTGTGTGGATAAATATCAAGAACTCTCACATTAATCAACTACTCAATGCATTTCATCTATAAACACTACAGCGCTTTTTAAAAAGGTATTTATTTATATATACACACACACATTCCCCACCACAAGTGAAGCATTATAGGTACATATATTAAATATTTCCCCAAGACCACTTAGCAGGGAAACACTGGAGCTTAGAACAGAATACACATGAGAATGACTGGACTCCCTCGACCTCTCTTGGCAACCTTACTTTAACACCAGTATGAAAAGCGCCAAACAAGACTTACCTGTGGGTGGTAGACACTGAGTGATTTCACTTTGTGCAATGGTAACAAAACCTTCAATAGGAATATTTTGTGCTCTTCTTTTAATGGTAAGGCAAATCCATTAATTATGCTGCCAGGGAAAAAAAATTAAAAATAAAAATCAGCAATTATGCAAAATCTGCACTACTGTAGAGGATATACCAAAATCCTTGTTTTCATTGCATGTTTTTTTGCAATCTCCTGGAGAACACGATGCAACAGAAAAATTTACAAATTAAGCATGAACCAGAGACTATTTAATTTTTGATCCAGTTCTCTAAAGATTACAAATTAATAGTCAAATCAACCTCTGCCCATCCCTCACCCAAGTCTTTCACAAGCCCCAAATTCTTCTTCCAAACAACATATATGACTATATCTACATTTCAGATTCCAACTTTCACTATGAACTATTCACCATCAAAGCTCTGACTACATATTTCTCCCAGCTTCTGCATGGAATTAAAGAATGAACCAGAGACTGGATGTAGAAGAGATCGATCCAGGACAGCAGACAAGTCAAAACATGACTTCTATTTCTGCAAGACCCTAGCATATAACCAAACAGCATCTCAACACATGACATCCCAGTTCCAGGTGAGGGCAGATGTGGCTCAATACTGGGCCATTGGCACCTTTACATAAAAACACAGCACTAGAACAGTGTTTTGTGTTCACTCACTTTGCTAGCATTAACATCAGTTAAAACATCCAGATATTGCCCATTTCCTATTTTAAATCCTATTTTATTAATTCAGATGCTTTTCCCTTCACTAACAAGGACAGAAGGCACCCAGGCAAAAGAAACCTGCCATGTTTGTCTTAAAAAAACCCCCCACATTAAAAAACATCAGTTACATATATTTTAGATCTCAGAAGTCAGATGATGTCCCAGAATTAAAGCTTGCTAAATAACATTTGCTGTACATGCTTAAAATAATTTTCACTAGTAATGACTGCACAACTATTCTGAGGATACGAGGTTATTCCTCCTGAAGTCTCTCAGTGCATAGTATCAAACCCCTATTTCTACATTAACATTTCTATGGTGTTCTTGCCACAACTTCCACATACTCAACAAATATATATTAACTTTATTTAAAAAAAAAGGAAAAGAAAAAGTTTCTCCAAGATGTTTTAAGGGTTGTTAACCACAAAGAGGAGCAGAATTGTAGGGCAAGTTTGGCCTCGATTGAGCGTGAAGAAATTCTGCCATCCTGTCAAGAGATGATTGTCAGAAAAAACCCATAACCACATCAGTAGTTCCTACCGGAAGTGTTCATTTGTCCAGTATTATATAGCACTTAGCAGAGGAAAAGAATGAAATCCAGTACTTCAGCATGACATTCGATTCCTCTCTACTCCTGAGGAGTCAAAACCCAACTGAAAACTGTTACTCATAAGAAGCTCTGTCAACAACATGCTATGTGAAACTCCATAACGGATTGGAAGAATAACCAGTGCAGAACAGTTACAGCTCAGAACCCTCATTTAGCTCCTAGAAATTTTGATTTGGAAGCCTGAGAAAAAAAAAAATACTTAACTTTTAGATTTGTAACACTTAAAGCTAACCTAACAAAACTAAGAATGAAAAAGCTGGTGACTTAGTAACAATTTTGAAGATTTAGCTCCATATTCTAATATTTAAGCTTTACAGTCTTCAGTACTTATCTTGATACATATTACTTGATTATAGTATGTTGAAGTAATGATGGATATGCAACTCCCTGCATCACTGAACATTTCATTGAAAATTTCGTTGAAAATTAAATAACTATTCTGGGCAGACACGTAGACCTAGAAAATTTTAAAACATCTTTCCAATTTCAACAGCATTCTGGGCTGCATTAGGAACAGCATTGCCAGCACGTTGAGGGAGGTGATCCTTCATCTCTGCCCAGCCCTGGTGAGACACATCTGGAGTGCTGGGTCCAGTTCTCGGCTCCCTAGGACAAGAAGGATGTAGACGTACTGGAGGGAGTCCAGCAAAGTGACATAAAGATAATGAAGGGGCTGGAGCATCTGACATACAAAGAAAGGCTGAGAGCTGTTTAGCTTTGGGAAGAGAAGGCTCAGGACGATCTTACCCATGTGTACAAATACCTGAAGGGATGGTGTGAAGAAGACTAAGTCAGACTCTTCTCACTGGTACCCAGTGAAAGGGCAAGAGGCAATGGGCACAAATTGAGACAAGAAATTTCATTCAAAATAGGAAAAAAGCCTTTTTGTTGTGAGCGTGGTAAAACATGGGATCCCACTGCCCAAAGAGGTTGTGGGGTCTCCATCCTTGGAGATATCCACAGCCCGATCAGACACAACCCTGAGCAACCTGCTCTTGCTGACCTGTTATTTTTATGTGCAAAAATACAGGAGCACCATAAAGTAGACCTAACTAAGCTTTTAAAGTGTATTGATGTCTAAAAAACAAAAGCTTGCACATGGATTAGAGAAATCAGTTGATAAAAACCACACGTTTTGACAAGGCTATCAGCTTTAAGTTGTAAAATTTTAGTCTCAAGTGCTTTCAGATGCATCGCTGAAGTTTGCTACATAATGTGATTAACAAAAGGTTTCTGAAGTTTCATAATCTACGCTTCCTTTGTTTACCTGCTATGCATTTAGTGATGTTAGAAGTATTTTTTAATATGTTTCAACTAATTACATGCTATTTGTGGTTGCTTCACAACTAATAGTAATTACAAGGATCCTAAGCTAGAAAGTAAGACTTAAAAAATAAGATTTAAAGAATTATCACATCCCAAAACATTGCCACAGGGTTCAAGTTTTTCCTATGTTTCTGCAATCTTAGACAAAACTCACTCTCTTCGTTACAGCTTTGCCACATGATATGAAGCTATTTTAATCTTGGCCCAGAGCAATCTGCAATCCCCAACTTGATTTTTAAAGCCTCCTCTGAAGAAGAAGCGAGTTTAATTAAACAAAACCTACAACTTACCTTCCCAGTATTTCCAGTAATTCTGCTATGCCATTGTGATGTTCTGTTTCATAAATAAACCTAAAAAAATGAAAAGTTTTACTCTGTTACTGCTGAAGAGATACAACTTTAACACCAAGATCCCCATCTAACATTACAGGTAGCCTTGACCTCCCAGGTTTATGCACTCAGTAAAAAGAAAACAGAAACATGTAGTGGAAAAGAAACTTTGTGGAAACATAAATGAATAGCACATTAACCTGCTTTCAACATTCACACTTTCTTGCTCTTTTCTCCCACGTTTAACAAGCAGCATGCACTTGAGCTTTTTCCAATAATCATATTCTGTGCCATTTTAATAATGTAAAACTGAATACAACAAACAACACTTTAAATATTAAAACAACACAAGAGCATCTGGCATAATCAAATGCCATGACTCAACCTTCTATAGCGCACGCAAGCACAAGGTGTTCAAACAGTTACTACTTATGGATCAAAAAAGCTCTTTGGCATTACAGATTTCTGTGCATACAAAAGGCTCTGTAATAAACAGAGGAAGTAAAATTTTCCTGAATTTTCTTTTGATAGAGCACTGTAATTTACTAGGCAATCACCTTTCCACCCTTTTTCCCAATTGCCTGAGTGTAGATTTATTGAGAAAGTTCTATGGACAACTTCAGGTATTTCACAAATTGTTATAAAAATTTACACTTACAAAAAAGTAATTCCATTCATTAGAAAATATTATTCTATTTGAAAATTTGTCATAGACTAACACTAACAGCTACTTTTAATCCAGAATATCTGATGTTTCTGGTTTTTTCTCCTTAAAGACCCTTTCCCTGTAACTCAGGACAACAATTCCAAGCAAAACTAAAGACAATGATATGAAAAGCTTTGTACTGAATTAACAGGAACATACCGGTTTAATAATTTTCATAAAAATATATTTTACATTACAAAAAAAGATGATTAATGTACTATCAGGACAGAATTCATGCTATTCTGGTCAGTGACTAAAAGACAAATAAAGACCACACATTTCTTAGGCAAGCACAGTAACAAACTGACTACTTGCAGGAAAAAGTATAAGAAATGGAAATATTTTGAAAAATTCTACACATACTTTAAGAGCTTATCATGCACAATCCACTAATTCAAGACAGAAGTGAAACAACTTTCCTCCCTGGTGCTCATACCCAGGAACACTAGTTTACATTTGGATACAAAATGTTTCAACTTCTACTTCCTAAATATTATACAACTAAATGAGGTTTTCTGTTTAATTTTTTTCCCCTACAGCTTGGTAAAGAAAGGTGGACTCTAGAGTGCAAATTATATCATCTCCCATATACATTTCAGATTGAAAACATATTTTTATATAAGCTATTACAAAGTTGATCTAATGACCGGAATTTCTTAGTCTTTCAAAAGCCTTGCACCAGAACTATCTCTGTTTGAAGACTTTGCTTCCATTATCCATGAAAGTAAAGTGCAAGAAGTGGCAAACAAAAGTACTGTTCAGAAGAGCATTATAATGTGTTCAAAAAACGGGTAGATGTGGCACTTGGGGACATGGTTTAGTCTAGTCTGCCCTTGATTGGTTTAGAGTAGACTTGGTAGTGTAGGTTAATGGTTGGACTGGATGATCTTAAAGGTCTTTTCCAACCTAAACGATTCTATGATTCTATAATACGCTATGACCCTGTTGTACCATCTGGTTCAGATATTTTTACAAAACTATGCATTTTGGAATTAATTTAATAAAATGTATGTTTGGGGAAAAAAGTTTACGTCTTTGCTTGAAAAATACACCTGTACTTTTTCCTTAGGTCATACTGGCTCTTGACACATCCAGTCAAGAGTAGTTGTCTGCAAGACAGTGAAGGCTTACTAATTATTTTAAGTAACCCCTCTGTATCTCTTCTGAAGGCTTACTTGTTACCATAGACAGGGAATATAAGCTCCCTCTACAGCTGATACTGCTGGGTGCCATTCATGAGATGGCACGGAGTATCTGGCAGCTTTTTGCTATTTGCTTAAAGGGGTGGCATCATACAGTCATTTTGGGATGAAAACAACAGTGGTAGAGAAAAAGGGAAGCAGGATGGAAGGAGTGTAAAACACGTAATTATTTGTAGAAAGGAGAAGTGTACCAAAACTAAGACTAAAAAAAAGGCACCATAATCTTGCATTCACATGTGACATAATGGCAGTAAAAACACACTTCTAAAGATCTTTGGCAATACAGTGGATTAATTTTTCATCTTTACACTTTTTGTATCGGGGATAATACTACAATTTATTCTAGGGCAATTAAAAAAATATTTCACAAGCCCTAAATGGTATATCTCAGTTCTGAGGAAAGAAAAGGCAGTAAGTATGTTCCTTCAAGCAAATTCCAGATCTCTCCGTCATTCGATTTGAGCCCAACTTCTGCATTAAGAAGAACTACATTTTATTAACGCACTACTGTAATACAAATACTACTACCCAATACCCCAAAAAAAAAAAAAAAAAAAAGCCTCACAGATCAAGATACCAAACCACCAACTGAATCTCATACAAACTCAAATTTCAGCTGCCAAGTTTATGCTGTGTGCAAGACTACCCCAACTTAAATCTCCCAGACTGGTACTCATTATTGTTAGATGTGGCAATACTGTGCATAAAACTACTAAGAATTAAAAAAATTGCTAGCAGTGTCTTGGGGAGTATTTTTAGTTGTATACCTGATCACATGCACCATAATACAAAGATATTGACATACCTATAAAATATATTATTAATTTGTTTCCGGATGTAAGCTCTTAGGCCTAAGAATTTCCCATATATTCTGTGAAGAGTTGTTTTAAGAAAATCTCTTTCACGAGGATCTTCACTGTCAAAGAGCTCTAAAAGCTGCAAAGAGGGAAAAGAAGAGATGCACTTTACTTGAACCCAATGCACTGTAAAATAATTTAGAGCTTGAAGTTAAAAATTCTTTTTTTTACCTCACCTGTAATACAAACTTCTGATCAATATATTTCTTAGCTATATTAGGTTGGAAATCTGGAGATTCTAAAAACCTTAAGAAAAATTCATAAACAAGCTGAAAAAAACCAACAAAAAATAGTATTAGTCTTTTAAACAAGGAACCATTTTATAAGCAGCACATTACCAAAATTACTAATTAGTTGTTCAGAACTGTACTGTTTTTATTTATATACCACACAGTAAAAGCTTTGCTCTTGTTCTCCTGACAAAGTACAAGAACTTAAGGTTCTTTAAACTGCACTGAAATTCTGCTGAGCTTCATCACTAGATTTTACTCAAATGACATACAGTAAACTAATATTCATCATGCCCAGAAGTACGTGTTTTGAAAATTCTCTGTTCTCCTCTGTTTGCCACGGTACCTCTGAAAGCTCGAGCTGTGCCAGAGTCAGATCAAAGCATTCATACTGACAAACTGAAGCTCATTTAAAATCAAAGCAGTTACATCTGTACCGCAAGAGGTGAGCCTTTAACCTCTAATATACTAACTGAAATTTTTTTCACAGATTATCAGTTTAAATTCAAGAAATATTTTAAATATTGCAGAGAAATGTAACTGACTTGAGATAAACACATAAACTAAACAGTTTTGAGTCAATAAACAATGAATTTAATGTCAGAATTTTGTTAGACTATGACTTCCTAAGTCTTCCTCAAATACCTGTAGATGAGGCCATGCAGCTTCTAAGGTTGGTTCATCTTCCTCTGGATCAAATTCTGCTCCCGTTGGATTGGAAGATGGTGGTAATGTTCGAAACATATTAACTGCAAACTGAAATCACATGTGCCTTTAAGAATTTTGAAACAAGTGAATGATTAAAAAAAGACTTCAAAGATTGTTTTGACTGAGAACTGTTTACATGAACTATTTTAATTAATATTTGCAAAAATACAAGCTATATAAGTTTAAACAATAATGAGGTACACTCACTCTTTAAAGATTTCTAACTTGGAGAACACTTTTCCACACCACACTCCTTAAAGCACAAACCTACTGTCAGGACACGTTTTATGTGGATATTGCTCTGATCTCTTTATGCACACACATTTTAAAAGCCCAAGCAAATGTATATAAAACGTTCACACAAACATTTTTTATATATACGCTTTACAAGGCCTCGCAACAACCTGCAAAAGTGGAAGTCAGAAGCAGAGATGCAAAACAAAGATTACCCACTACTGTTCTTCTCTATTACCAGTTTCACACTGTGGGTATATACGCGAGGAAACACTTCAAAACCAGATTCCTCCCTCCCCCTCTCAGTGGTAATTTCTCTTCAGCCACGGCCATCTACCTGACATGACAGGGGCATTGAGGGGGGAGAAATGCACATCCTAATCCTTTAATCTTTGACTTCATCTGAATTCTCAACCCCCCGAAAAGTGTTTAGCAGCCTCATGGAAGTGGAGTAGACTACAAAGATGAATTACTTTTCAAGTTGCTGATATGCATACAGATAAATTATTTTTGTGTTTCCAAGTGCTTGTCTAGATGCACATTCATACTGTGTATGAACCAATGCAGTACTCTTCACAAACCCCTTTAACATGAAGAAAGTTTCAAAGTCCCTAATAAAGACAAAAAAAACATTTCCTATCATATGGACAGAAAATTTGTCTACAAGGTCCTGTTCTAGGCAAAACAATCTCATCACTAAATGCATGCAGCTTGAATTTTTTTAAAATAAAAAGAAATATAATCAGAAATAATTACATTTCTATCAATTTATACAATGCATATAATTGCAAATGCACAGTAAAACACATTTGTTGGCTGAAAAAAAAAAATCTTACATGTTTTTGGGATAAATTTAGCACGCATTCTCAAGAATAACTTTACCTAGAATGGTGCGAAGATTTAAACAGCCTGCAGTATCCTAAATTCTCCACCTGAAATGATAGCTAGCAAAACCAGCTGGCTTCTCTGTGGACAAGAAAGGTTTTGTGATTCAAATGGTTGTTCTCACTCCCTGAGGAGTTAATGATTAAAACTTTACTGAGCAAGTTGGAGGGAACATGTTTCTGTGCATGCCAGTAAGAAAACCTGAAAAAGCCTTTATCTGTATATGCAAGACAGCTATGGCTGTCAGGACTGAAAAGAGACTAATTCCTCAATTACACTTGTAATCCAGAGTATTAGGTAGGGCAGATGTTGGTAGGAGACAAGCAAATTGCTGAGCAAGTAGAAAAACATAATATATTTAGCCGCATAAGTGCATCCAATAGAGACTTTCTTGTTCTATTTTGTTGCTTACTCATTATCAAGCCAGTACCAAGGATTCTAAACTTATTTTTGTGCTGAACAAAAAAAAATAAAGATCAGTTCAAATTAGTATATGGTCCCAAACTGCCTCCATGACTTCAAAATGATCCTTTGAGACAAATGCCTTAGTCTCTCAGCAGCTTGAACACACTGCAGAAACAATGAGAAGACTGCCAAAATAAAAACATAGTGCTGTACTATCCTAACCCTTCATAACCATTGGGTATATTAGGCTCCATAAAGAAATCCTCTTCAAGTCTATTCCTACTTACAACACTAAAGTAAATTCTGCTATCAAATACACAGATAATTTTGTGCTTTATAAAAAATACTAAGATATTTTAAAGTAAATTTCAGTAGGCATTTGTTCACAGTGAGAATGGTGGCTATGCTGAAAGGAGATCTACATCCAGCACAAAACTGACTTATCAAATAAGCTGCAGCTCGCTGCATGTAGCTTCAGCATAAGGCATACATATACTCCGTTCTAAATATGTACCACAAGCACTGGTAAGAGTTAACCTATACATTGTTACTGATATTCTATTGCTGTAACAGATTGGAGGTGTCTTTTTTGCAAGTCTTTAGGGGAAAATCCGAGAATACATTTCCCAAGTCTGGCAAAGTAAGACACAACAGTACGGAGAAGCTGATTTGCCAGGAAAGGGAAAATTCTTTGCAAAAGGCTACATCACCAAGAGCAGCAGAAACATTTACAGAGCCTTTTCAAGAAAACCAATACTTGGCTCAGCAAACATGCCAGTACAGGGCATCTCCAGGACCAGCTAGGGAAAAGAAAAGGTTACTCCATTGGAACTTGCACTGAACTGAATGTCTTATTTGAGGATGAAAAAGAACATTTTATTTACTTCATCAGCTGAAAGGTTCCTATGCTTTCGCCAAGTGTATAATACAGCTCAATTTAAGGAAAAAACCCTAACCCCTACGAGTCTGAGTTTACTTATAACATAGCTATTCAGAAAGGCAGGTCTACTCCAACCACTACGTTTAAAATCTATTCTTTATGCCACAGTTTCAGGCTTTGTTACATTCAGCTTCCATCGCAGATAATAATCACATGCCATACATACATTTTTATTCTCTTTCTCAGGTTTTACTGAGGGTTCTTTTTGTTTGGCTTTTTGTGTGTTTGGTTGGCTTGGTTTTTTTGTCTTTTTTGATTTTTGTTTTGTTTTGCTTTTAATAGCATCAAAGCTTTCTTGCTGATAATTTGAAGGTTACTCGAAAGTTATGAAAGAGTAAGCTGTCTCAGTTTAAAGATGCTACTTTGCAGAGGAATGCATTCCAACCATCTTTGGCGGAATTCTGGGAAGAGCAACAGAATGTCATGTTTCCCTCTTCGCGTTCTGACTTCTTCTCATTAACACCTCCATTCACAGTTTAAAATAATGCTGTGAATTACCTATTAACTGGCAGGGCTAAGGAGCATATGTATGTGCTGTCCTGCCATCTCACATCTGACAGATGGCAGAGCAGACAGTGGGAGGCAGTATCAAACTGCATCAGCTAAATCTGCAAGAATTACATCATATTCCCATGAAGGAAAAGTCACTCTCATGCTCTGTTTTTCTTCAGAATATTTCTTCATTTCAGCAACTGAGATGCAAGTCTGATACAGAATGAGACTGGCATATCAGAGTAATTACTATTTCAGAAAAGTAAGAGTAAAGCTAAAATGTTTTTATGTTTCCCTTTTTAAAAATTTGTATGGACATCAAGCAACTAACAACCTCCAACCTTTGTTTAAAAACATAGGGTGAAAATTTACAACAATCAAGGGTCTTCCAAGAAAACAAATCTAGGAAGACTACACTTGAAATTTAAAACTTGCTAAGGTTGTTAAGCAAATGGAAGAATAATCAGCTTTTTCTAGATGAGAAAGTCTCAGGCTCTTGCTATAAAGAAGAAAAGCCGGGTCATGTAAGGTGTTAGGTACAGTATTTTTTATTTTTGAGAGTATCAAATGGAAAGAGTTAAACCACAAAGCCAGAATAATTTGTTCCATGAGCAATGGAACCATCGAAGCCTGATTTGATCTGTTTTGTTTTTACATCCTTGATCAACAGAACACAAAACTGCTCAAATCAACGTGCAGCATCTCTTGGTGAAAGCACAAACTTGAAACCCTCTTCTCTATTAAGCCACTGACATTGAGGAATATTTACAGTTAATTAATACCAGTGAGGCTTTTATCTTTCTGTCAAATGGCTGATCTCTTTCCTAATGTCTCACTCTTTTGCCCAAACAGACAAGACACAAGCTGCAAAGCCTTACTTCCTCTAAGGCCAAATTCGCACAGAAATACCAAGTAAACATAGCATAACTTAAACACATCTCCTCCCCAGCTCCCCTCCCCCCCAGCCCCCCCCCCCCCCAATTTATGAAATATGAGTCTTTATGAAAACTGGGCTAGTGTGCCAAAATTCTGTGTGCTGTTAGCACTGACAATACTTGACTCCAAAGGACATAACTGACTAGGATGGGAGAATAAAAAAGGAAAAGCAAACAACCTGCATTTTTACTGCTTCACAGATATGTTTGCTGTAATGGTAGTTATGCACCCTGTTTTTCTGGTGGCCCATTTTGTATAACACTGGAGAATATTTTCAAGCAAATAAGCATCAGAGATATCATTACACATTTTCTTCTCCCTTCTGCTGAACAGCCTGAGCGAAGCCTGACATGAACAGCTCTGAATGACAAGCTATATAAAGTGAAAGTCTGCGCCTTCTATATTCCGGTGAATAAAGCTATCCTAATAGCTAAATAGAGCCACAAGTAGTACACTTCTCTTCACAGTAAAATCTCTTATTCTAGACCAAAGATCAGAGTAATAAAAATCCAAAATAAAACCCCACAACCACAAAACTCTCAAAGCAAAACAAAACAACAAAAAAATCAACCTCCCTAGATGTATAACTGAATATGTAATTTCATTTGCATAATGCATGAAAAGTTGCAGTCAAAACTGCTTCAGTTGCTGAAAATACCTAGTTATAAAATTAGATCTGTTCCTATATATTATCAATTTTAAAAGTAATATTAGCCTATACGCTTCACAAAAATGTTAATTTACCATCCACAAGTACTTCATCATCATCATCACCACTAAGAAAATTATTCCGAGCACTACAGAAATAAGTAAGCCATATTTATACAAGCTTTTGATCTACTTCTTTCTCAGAACATTACAGCCCTGGACCTCCACATCCAGTGCTGCCCTAGCCTCCTCTCAGCTCTCTTCAATACCCTCTGGCTGGCTAGCTGGGGAAGTGAATATTCATGTTGATGTTCACTTTCATAGTCCCACTTAAAACAGATACAATCCAGGTATTACCTATCCTTTCCTGAGATGGAAAGCAGCATTAATTTGGGTCTGTATTCTACATAGCTAGCAATTCTCAAAGTTCTAAAAAGATAATATCCTACGTGTCTGTGGTTTTGACAAACTAGTACACAACAGAACATTCTCATACAGCCCCGTTTTCTTCAGGAGCCAAGCAAAAAAAAAAAAAAAAAAGCAAGCATCTATTCTTTTCTAAATAAGAATCTGTAACAGATGCTTCTGATCAAACCCCCTAAATTTATCATTTACATTTACAAGATTTGTTTCAGACATTTGACTACATATCTTATAGTTTTGAGAAGAGGTAAGTTCCTTCTCTGAGGCTAATCAATCCAACCTTACTATATTATACCTGAGAAATGGAACTTGTTATACAAACATTTAATAAAAAACATTTCCTTTCCCATCATATCTTTGCTTATAAACAACATAAAAGGAATTTGAAGGACATTTCAGCTGGCTCTTTGAGGAGGAACAGGAAGAAACTCTTGGATCCAATCTGCAGAGTAACATTAAATCCATTTTAGAAATTAATTTCTCTAATATCTTTTGAAAAGGAGACTTATGATTAATATTAAATAATTGAACTAAGCCACTAGATGAATATATAGCTTAAAGACAAGATCTTACTATAAGTTAGCTGAGGACACTTGAAGCAAAAGAAGAGTGAGGGTGGGATGGAAGGACATGACATGAGCACTAGAATTATAAAGAAGAACCAGATAATAAGGCAGATGCTTCTCTTGTCACAGAGAAAGAAGATTTGAAACTAATGAGAAGGAAAAATATTATTTTATTATTATTAAACAGATAACTTGTGAAAATCATTTCCCTGAGTGTTTGGCCTAAATAAGATGTTAACAAAACCAAACAAAGATTATACACACACACATACATATATGCGCTAATATATCTGTATATACTCATACATAAATGAGTAACCTCCAAATTGTGTCAATGACTGGAATGGCACAGTAAAATCCTAATTCCTATGCCAACTATCAACTCCACAAACTTTCCAAAGCAAAACCACTCTCAAATCCAAGTATTTCTCAATCACTCTCATAGTTTTGCTGAAAACACTATTCCTTATTAATACAACTCAGTGGCAGTAGCCGCACCAACTTACCAATGTCTCTTTGAAGAGTCTTAAAGTACAAAAAAACATTATTTTTCCTTAAAATCTACACAATCAACTCAAATCTACTGCTAGAACTCTAGCAAAAGTACACCTCAACCTACACGTACATGCCTGAAAAAAAGAAGCTGATAATACTACAGCAAGAGGAATACAGTTGTTTCAGAACAGATGACCAAAAGAAAATTGTTCCATAAAAGCAGACTAAAAAAATTGCTTTCTGAATTTAACCTCAAAATACTAGTCCAGGTGCCTTCACTGACAGTGTCTATCGCAGTGCTGTGTTAAGTCCCATGCAAAGAAACCCCGCACCCTTTAGAACTTTGCACATAAAATGCATTTTAAATTCAGTGAAAGAATTGTCAAACAGATGCTGCGTGCTCCCACCAAAACACTGGCGATTAAGGCAGCAACCAAATTCTGCACCAAGATTTATTAAACTGACCGAAGTGCAGACTTCATTACCATTAGTTGCATCTGAAAGCAAAGAAAGTATATATTCTCCTCAGCCAAATGTATTCTAGCCGTAACTGTTTGATGGAGGAAGATAACGTAGGCACATAAGGCAAAAGTTATGAAATTATGTGCGGTTAAGACTACTTACTCACAGCAAACACTGATGTCTGACATAGATATTCAAGAACTCATAATGAACTCCGTTTTACCTAAATGAAGTCTCAGCAAGCTTATTCTCTTTTGTAATCCCCCTTTCGTCAGCATCAAGTATTCCAAAACAAGCAATCAATTAGCAAAACCCAGAGATATAAATAAACTATCAAGACATGGGAAAAGCCATGATCCCACATCTCCTCATTAACCATCCTCAATGGTTTGTGCACGTTTGACATCTGGAGTTATACATAATCCTCATATACTCAGAAGTTCTCATGAAAATAACTTCTGTATCAGTACACACTTATTGCTGATTTAGATAACAAGCAATCTTCAGAATAAGCAACATCTTTCATACTATAAATCCTCAGAATCTTTGAAGAAGCTTCAAAGTCTCTGATTTGTAGGAGGACCTCAAAATTTGACTGAGTTCATATTTATGTTAAAAGATGCACTATTTTCTCATCCCCTTGAAAATCCACCCCAAGCTACGAAGTCTCAGGAAAAAACATTATGTCACACATGGTCAAGAGTTTCTTGTAGGCTTAGTAGTCAGCTATTTTAAAAGATGCTTTCTCCTCTCAGTGCATTGCAGACAACAGCTACAGACCTCAACCCAACTGCTACTCCAGGCAGCTGGTGTCCAGCCACCACAACGAGAGCTGAAAGACTCTCTTGTAGTTTCACCGTCTCCTCCTCTGGAATGGACTTAGGCAAGACAGAAAAATAAGCCAAGTCTAGCTGGCTAGGATTTGGATAGTAGGCAGGGAGAAACAATGCAGGTCTGAATGGTTCACATAGCTTGTTCCAGCAGAACCTCATCCACCATCCTGTGTACTAAATAAGGTCTGACACTCATCCTCACATCTGAGTACAGAATAAAGTCAATCGCTGGTACTGAATGGGACTATGTAAGATTAAGTGTCAAGCTTGCATACCTGATCTCAATTCTAAGCTTATAAGTTTTTTCTCAAATTTTCAGTTTTGCAATCTACACGGTTTTTTAACAGCTAGATGTATTTAACTTTCCTCCCTATTTTAATAAACACCCAATTCCAAAAAAGTTTGGGGGAGGGGAAGCAACACTCCCCCCACTTTTTTTTAAATACAAGATTTCATTTTTACCAACTTAAGCCATAATTTACTCCTGCTTCATATATGTCTAGTTTCTATCTTACAAAGAATAATAATCAACACTGGCAATGGTATTTAAAAAGCACTGTTATATTACCATTTTGCAGATGTGCAAACATAGTTGATCTTTTTTGAAGATTTCAGTAAGATTTCTTAAGATACATTGATACAGCTGAAGAAGCAACTGTGAATTAAAAAAAATTCAAAATAGTTCTCATTGTTAAATCACTTACCATATGTACTACTTCAGGGTAAATAGGTTCTGTAATCACATTGCGATTGTGTGTGATATATTCTACCATTTCACTTAAAGCTGCTCGTTTTACTTCCTTCCACTTTAGGTCACTTAGTGGATCAGAAACAAAGTCAAAAAGTACACAACATTGTCGTAACTTCTGGATAAAAAGCTTTTCTTGATCAGCAGGAGGAACATCTGAAAAGTGAAAATAATTGGTTATAAATTATATAGTAGTGGACTTTACTCTTCTCCCCATTTTTACTTCCTGAGACACAGGCATAGCAGTGTTTAAGACTACAAGCAAGCTTTCTCAATCTTCAAACAACTTTCAGGAATATAATGGTCCAAAGTATGAACCCCAGTAAAATACACTGTACATGACAGGATAATTTAACAAAATCGCAACAGTGATGCATACTTGCCTTTGCCAGAAATAGATACTACATGGAAAAAATACATACTTGAAAAAATGCCTCAAGGAATTCCCCAAAAGTTCAGTTTGTGTAAAGACTATTACGCCACATTTGCAGAATTACTCTGTTTTTTTAATATTAAAGAGATAAATGGGTGAATCTTCAGTTTCAGGATTAGATTTAACCTAGAGCCATTTTTTAAACCTGGGAGCTGCCACCTCACGAAGTCCATTTTTCTATCAAGTGCCTCCTACAACACAACAGGCTGCAGGCAAACACATCTAGGCACAGAACAACTCTTCAAGATTTTTTTAAACTTCATTAACACAAGAAATATTTAAAAGAGACTGGAACAACACGTTTAAGATCTTGAACTATTTGGTCAGTTTGTAACACTATTTTGAATGTTTGTTTCACACATACAAGAGTTAGACTTGCATTATCAATCTATTTAAGCACTTGTAGGAGTGTGTTTGGTTAACTGTTGCCAGGACTGCAAAATTAAACAATAGAAAAGACCATACTTAATCACCAAGATGAATATAAGATATGAAAAAAATAACAACCGTAAATTTTAAAACAAATTGAGTAAACACCTTGTTTGATATTTACTCATTGTTTAATCATCACTCAGATGCAGCTGGTAACAAACTATTTTGATTTTTCTTTTCTGTGATACCTATTAAAAATATTTCCCAGGCTTCAGATATCCTGAGACCATACTCTCCCTCACCTTCAGTAACAAATGGGGGGGAGGGGAAGATAATATTTTTGGTAACAATCCATAATTCATTGTATCATTGTTATACAGACAATTACTCTTTTGAGACAAAGGTTGTCTTGCCTTATACAGTCTTTGTGCAGTGGCATTTTTATTGTTTGACAAGGATACTTAGGTTATAAAAAAAATTTGAAGTGTTTAGCTCCCAATTTTCACTCCCTGTGCTTTACACCTTAATCCTCCCTGCTGAGCCTCTGTAATTCATTACTTAGCACTTGCACATAAAGCAAAATTAGATTGCGCAGTTCAAACTTCATACACAGAATCGATAAGCAAGTAAGCCAGCCCTACTTTTGCCATCAGTATTTTCCAAAGTAATGAACCTTCAAAAAATTAAAAATGTACTCACATCAACATAAACCCACCAATTATAATTTGAAACTAAGCCTAAATCACCAAGTCCAAATATAGATGTAGAAGTTTAAGTTTAGGTTACTGTTAAGAAAGAACTAACACGAGACTGCTGTTTATAAACTTTCATATGTTAACAAATTAAAATACCTCCTATGGCTAACATTTCAACAGTTATAGAACAGAAGTTACCCCTTTTAAATTCTATAGAGCTTTAGCCTCGATGCTACAAAACTCTGCCTGTGCTTTATTTTTTGCTTAAGTAATCCCACGAGCATGAAGATGACTAATGCACGTGAAATTACAAATCATTATACACAGCAAAAACTTTCAGGATCAGGGCCTTAACTCTCAATACTTAGGAAATACTAAAGTAACTGGCCAGAGGCAAAGAAAGCAGTACCAAATTTTGACAGCAGCAAAAATTCGTGTGCAATTAAAATGGCCACATAACTACAGCACTAAGCTTAAGACCAGAAATGTGAACACACCACAGAAAGCCTGCATAAGTTAACACCATAACACATTTCATGTTTCTGCATAAAGATTTTTTTATTGTTAGATATGAACTGCTAAGACATTAATAGCATGCTAAAAAACAGAGTAAGACTAGATTGCGTTTGTAAATATTTCTGCGGTTTACTCCTATTCTTCCAGTTGATGACTTCTTTTTCCTTACACTATCATAAAATGCTAACATTTTCTTAAAACACAAGCAGCAAGAGCTACCATCAAACAAAGGATTTCACATGGTGCTACTGAATACAAGCACACAGAACCTAACACATGCACATACAATCTAATAAACTGAATGTCTGACAGGTATCTACAGTCCCGTTGATTAGTTAAATATGAGTTGCTCTCCTGCCTGACAAACTTCTTAAGATAACAAAAGCGGAGGTAGTTCCTCCCTTGCCAAGAGAAGTTGCTTTCAGAAGTATTTTTGCTATAATAAACCTGGAGGACATATTTGGTTTAAAACAGCTGGCATGTTTTTTTTGAAGTTATGTACACTGAATTGCTCTGAAGATTAATTCCCTGAAAAAAACCTGTAGAATACATGAAAGAAACCATAACCAGTTACAGATTTCAGTGTCACCAAGACACCTGGGACAATGAAGACTTCAAGAACTAGAAAGAAGGTGCTAAGTGACAGGTGTCCCTAAACAGAGCAACAACTTTCTGGCAAATAAACTAAAATTCCTGTCCAGTGTTGTGAACAAGTTGAGGGTACTTTAAGCCACACAGATTTTGCATCTGAACACACACACTTTTGTCTATTTGGATTAAAAACTATAGTAATGAATAATTTCTCCTGGAAAAAGAGTATTTAATGGAATAATTTGCATACTGAAAGCCAGCCAAATTTATGACCTGGATGTAAGTAGTCTTGGATGTACCAAGTGGCTCGAGTGGTTACCTTCTCCCAATTACCTGTAAAATGGAAAGTGGTTCAACCTGAAGTGTAACAACACAATTTCACTTAGGGATACTGTGCTATGAATGTAGAACTCCACAAAATCCAAGGCCTAAATAGAGACTATAAACATACAACTAATGGACATACAATTACAGTGATTTACAGTACACTAACCTGAAAGGAGAGGAAGCATTAAAACTGTAATTACTACTAATCTCAGAAGTTAAAACTGACAACTAAGAGGGTCAAGAAACACCCTCACAAGGCAAGCCACCTCCCTCGCCATTTATTTTGAAGTGGCTTGACTATTTTAAGTACCTCAGTCATCCTTGTTACTCTAGCAGAGAGAGATGTTCTTTATACAGACTGAGAACCTCACGTATTTCTAAGAAACTGTGTCTTGTTTGGTTGGTTTTTTTCCCCCCTTTGGGAGTGTTCATCAATAGCTTTCAAATGTCCAGACCTCAAATCTCTTGTGGTACTTGTCTAGAGTACTTGCCATCAAATCAAGATCATCCCTACCTTTAAGATTTGAAAGGTTGATTTCAGTATGACAGAAAATAAAAGATGGCCAAGAAGCTGACCCGAGTAGACTGTAATTTTTGTACAGAGAATGTATGCACACCTGCCGAACAACTCCGAGACGCCCCAAGAAGTCATTTATCCTCAGCCACATGTCAGGGACTATCTGGCACTATTCTTTCTGTTAACTGCATGGCGACTTGGTTCACATGGGCCCACTTCTCAAGCTCGTTCAGGTCCCTCTGAAGGGCATCCCATCCCTCAGTATGTCAACCGCACCACTCGGCTTGGTCTCATCTGCAAATTTGCTGAGGGTGCACTCGATCCAGCTGTCTATGTCATTGATGAAGATATTAAACAGTACTGGCCCCAATACGGACCCCTTAGGGACACCACTCATCACTGATCTCCATCTGGACACTGAGCCATAGACCACTACTCTCTAGATGTGACCATCCAGCCAGACACCCTCGTGGCGGAACCGTCAGTAGGGTTTGCTTGTTAACGCCCCAGGCCTGTTGCTTGTATAGAATAGGCATTGCCTCTTTTAGGTCTCTGTTTAGGTCAGTAGGGATTTAGGAAAGCATACAGACAAAAGTATTCAAGTATTTTTACTGCTCATCCTGTCATTATCAGGTTGGTAGTGAAGAAAAAAAGGAAGCACAGCTTTCAAAGGTTTGCTTTATATGGCTGCAAGTAAAATAAAGAATAAATATCTCAGCATACCTTCTCCTTGTTGCCTCAGTGATACACAATATTCCAGTTGCAAGACCACTTAACAGTGCCCATCCCGCGTGAACCTCATGAGGTTCAACAAGTGCAAGGTCCTGCACCTGGGTCATGGCAACCCCCAGTATCAATACAGGCTGGGCGATGAAGGGATTGAGAGCAGAGCTGCAGAGAAGGACTTGGGGGTACCGGGTGATGAAAAGATGGGCATGAGCCGGTTGATGAAAAGCTGGACATGAGCCGGCAATGTGTGCTCGCAACCCAGAAAGCCAACCGTATCCTGGGCTGCATCAAAAGAAGTGTGGCCAGCAGGTCGAGGGAGGTGATTCTGCCTCTCTGCTCTGCTCTGGTGAGACCTCATCTGGAGCACTGCGTCCAGCTCTGGGGCCCTCAGCACAGGAAAGACACAGACCTGTTAGAGCAGGTCCAGAGGAGGGCCACAAAAATGATCAGAGGGATGCAGCACCTCTCCTACAAGGCCAGGCTGAGAGAGTTGGGGTTGTTCAGCCTGGAGAAGAGAAGGCTCCAGGGAGACCTTATTGCAGCCTTTGAGTACTGAAAGGGGGCTTACGAGAAAGATGGGGACAGACTTTTTAATAGGGCCTGTAACAATAGGACATAGGGTAATGGTTTTAAACTAAAAGAGGATAGATTCAGACTAGATATGAGGAAAAAGTTTTTTATAATGAGGGTGGTGAAACACAAACAGGTTGCCCAGAGCAGTGGTAGATGCCCTAACCCTGGAGACATTCAAGGTGAGGTTGGACGGGGCTCTGAGCAACCTGATCTAGTTGAAGATGTCCCTGCTCATTGCAAGGAGGTTGGGACTAGATGATCTTTAAAGGTCTCTTCCAACCCAAACCACTCTGTGATTCTGTGACTTCTACATCACCTTCCACTTCAATTAAGCCACAACCTCCGACTTCCAATTGCTGAAGTTAACTGACATATTTGAAGAGGCCATTAGGTAAAAGTTTCC